ATGTACTTCAAAACAAAAACTTGATTGATGGATTTAAATAATGCCTAAAAAATGGAAGGCCTAAGACAATCATATAAACCCTTGATTACCCTTAGGAATTTCCCATAGCCACTGAGGAAATCAACGGGGCCAGCACTGTTTAAATTGATATCCACCTGTTGCAAATATTGAAACATGTTGAGTCAAGGTTCCAGGAGAATGAATGTAATGGAGAGTGTGTTTTAAAATTGGACGGGCATGTAACTCGGTGATACAAGTGAGGGTCTGTTTTCCATTTAGTTTAAACTGAGCTTCCCTTATGAAGACATCTATAAAGTTTTGACATATAAAAATAACCAGATGCAGAAGGCACTTTTATTTGGTGTCAGGCCATGCACTTATTTCTTGGGGTTAACTGACAGTGGTCAATTATTCCCAGGATTGTGTGACCCTGCCCCGCCTGAGAAAACACCCAGAAATAAGTGAAAAAAACCTAGTAAACTAACCACCTGGGAGGGCAAGTTGCTATTCTTCCAGATTAAGGTAAGTCTGCTGTGAACTAACTAGTCAGCAACTTCTTGTGAGCAAATAATTCACTGTGGGAAAGGCAAGCATTTTAGGAAGCATATTGATTCCTTAAATGCAATTTAGGAGATCAGATTTCAATACTTTAAATGCTATTCACTGTACTTAACTTTAAACTGTACAGTTCTAAGACTCGTCCAAAGAGATGATGAAATCCAGTGGTTTTTAAAATGTGTACTGCAGATGTTGAGGCCTCTTTAGAGACCTTCAGATTCTGACTGGTTTGGGACAGTAGGGCCCATGGGGTAGGGAGAGGCTTCCATTTGCTTTATATCACCCGCATATATGATTTTTCAATTTGGAAAGAAGGTTCTGCTTTTTAAATGAACGAATGAATTTTATCATTGGATGTCATTCATTCCACAAATAATTATTTGAGCATCTGTGATGTTTCAGACATGATACCAGTTTGGGATGTTACAAAGCATTTTTCTGCTAATACAGGGTTTCAGGTGCTATAAAAGTGCTTCAGGACAGTGCTATGGGATATAGTGGAAGAAATTAGTTTATCCTGGGGCAATCATTCCTGAAATGAGAAAATTGTGACCCAGATAGTTCTAAGTGACTCATTCCAAGATGCCCCCTGTTCTAACTCATGTTGTTTCCAAAAAAGAATGGGACCCACATACCAAAACTCACTCTTTACATTCTTCAAAGATTTGAGCTAGAATCCTTTGGCAACATGATTTATGTCTTAACCATTTGTCTTATCTCCAATGCCTAGAACAGGGCCGGGCATTGAATGAACACCCAACAAATGTTTAATTTGGGGTTTTTTTTTAATAGACAGGGAGAGAAAGAGGTAAATTACTCTGAAGGTAGTTACTGAAATCAATACATACCAAGGTGGTTGAAGATAGGAACTGGCTAAGATAGCAGAGGGTCTGGTTAATACATATGAACAACAGTAAAAGAGAGGCATTATCCCCCCAGTGCCATCCTCCTGTGTTTTGGCAAATCCCCTTCTGCTGGATTCATGCTCTAGTGAGACCTTAGTGAACATGCAGTAATTTTAAGTGGCCAAGAGAAAAAGTACTTTCTTTCACAGATTCATACTTTCTGTGGATGGGACAGCATTTTTCATTTTGGTAGGGTTCCCACACTTTGATTTTGGCACCCCACAGGATTGTTAAAAACACATTCAACGTTTTTATATTGAAATGAACATATTTTTGGCTCCAAAAGTAGTCATTTTGGTTAAGTCCATAGTTGTATGGAAAGGCATATGAACTTCATTTAACTTCCTTTAAAGAATATAGGCATGGGTTACTTGGATTCTGATATATAATCTAGTTTTGAAAAATGCAATTTATTGCTTATTGTGATTTTAACTTTTTTGAAACCATTACATTCTATCGACTTGGGAGAGGTATGAGCATTGCATTAAAAACTGACCAGAAATCTGACGCTGTTCTCTTGAGAGAAATAAACTGTAATTTAAATATTAAAGTCATTAACCTGATTCTTTTAAGAGAGAAAATAGACATAATATAGGTTCCTGGTTTGTTTTTTCTTTCAGCTCCTAACAGAGTTGCACGTTTTGAATGAAAGCATAGCTCCTTTAAAAATACAAGCAAGACATGTCCAATTAATCATACAAGTTTCCTCTAGATTGTTTTCAGACAGGTCACATTCCTAAGACATTAATTTAAGCTTTCACTGAATCTGTAAGAACAATGAGGACATAAAGTAAGACTTTGTAAAACAAAGCTAAGTAATGTGACCTTACGCCATTGTGGTGAAACTGCAATTCTGTATTAATCGAGATATTGTAGCTCTTATTCTGTGTACATAGTAGAAACAAATTATTTTAAAAAACAAATTCTACATTTCTCACTGACCCTCGGGAAGATAGTACGTTTTCATAATTTTATTTAGATCTATCCAATATTTTTTACATTAGGATTTTTTTTTTTAAGGGAGCTATCTGTCTTTCCATTTCTCAAAAATAACTCCTGGAAAAATATTTGAACCTGGTGAACAACCCAGATTTAATTTTAGTCAGGGCAAAAAAAAAAAATGTAGATGAATGAGAGAAGCTTAAGTGAAAGCATAAACAGAAATCCTCCATTTGAAGCTGGTGTGACGTTCGGTGACAATGCCAGGGGACATTTCAGGCTCTAAAGATGGGTGTAAGGAGCAGCTCTCTTACTCTGCTTTGCATTTGCCATTATTTCTTGTCTTATTCTTTGCTGTGGTTTTCCCGAAGTTAATATATGCTTAACACCAAATCTTAAATTACAAGCAGAAGTGTGACAACCTGCTGGAACAGCTTTGTGTGTATGAACAATGTTGGAGAACGAAACGGCAAGAGCTGGTTGCTTGTCGTGATGGTTGCTTCTCATTAAGAGTGATTGGTGCTTTGTTCTCACTGCCCATGGCGGAAGCTGGGGGAGGCATGGAGCCCCACTTCTGAATCTAGCTTGTTTTTCAGAGTTTAGTTTGTGTACATCTGCTTAGAGATGGATCAAAGGTCACTTGGCAAAACTAACGAAGCCATGTTGTTTGAAAGCTGATACCTCACAAGCTAAATATACCTCTCTAAAGAAGATATAACTTTTCTAAAAAAAAAAAGGAAAAGGTGTTTTCTGCTCAGATGCTTGATAGAAAAGAAACAGAACAAAAATACATCTAAAAAACAGTTTGAAAAAATGTCCAGAAATCTTTAATCAGAATCCAATTCCTATATCTTAGGTTTAATTCCTTGTGGAGCTCCAAACCACCCTAACTTTGGTCCAAGTTGATTTCAAGTCCCTTCTGTCACGTTCTGCAGTGGAAGTGTTGAGAAGGTTGGAAGAATATTTCCTAATGACAGCTTCTCTCTAGAGGAAGTGTTGTGAGGTCTCTCAGGGCCCTTCCGTCACACAGACAGAGGCGTTAGGACCTCGTGTCTCACGCTCACGGGCTGACAGGAGTTAATGCATGGTCGAGATCTAAGGCCAAGGTTGCAAACTCAAGTATCTACTGGGGCCAGAAGTTCTTTGTTCTTAGGGTGGTAAAAATCTCTATTTTTCTAAGAAATCACCCAATATTAAAGCACCGGTCCAATTGGTTTTAATATTATGCAGATCTGGGAGCTGAATTTGGCCTGTAGTCACCGGTTTGCAAAGCCTGGTCTGAGGTTTAGATTTTTAAAAAATATATACATGAAATGCTCAGAAGGCAAGACGATAGAAGGGTTATCAAACTTACTTGCCAAGTACTCTGTAAACATTGGACTTATCTTAAATTATCCTTATAATCACCCAGCTGGTTAGTACTGTTTGCCGATTTTACAAATGTAGACATTAAGTGACACAGAAATTAAGAAACTTAACCCAAGAACGTGCCCAAGTTACACAGCTAGTTGAGAGTCTGTACTAACTATGCTATGTGTACATCAGACTTGGAATCCGAAGTTTCATGTGGTCATTTTTTAAAAACTGGTTTCTACTCATCTTTCTTAGTAAATGTTTAAGGCTAATACCTTAAATGACAAAGATCATTAAGTTGAACTTATGTTTCCTTTACTTGAGAAGAGAAGAGCAGGTTGGCTAGACTGAGTGTAGAAATGATTCGCCTACAAGGAAAACATACAGACTCCGGGTCAGTCCTGCTTTTTTCCCAGCTGTGTCAATGAGGCAAATCTTTTCACCTTTCTTCCTATCTCATTGCTTATTTTTTGGGCAAGTCCATGAGTCAAGTTTTCTATCTCAATTGTGTAGGTGAGAAATGGAAGCTCAAAATTAGTACCTGGTTATGTAAGTCCCCAGAAAGTGGGAGCCAGTGTGACTTCTATACAACGCAGGGCAAAATTGCTTGCCTCTGAAAGCAATCCTCAGCCCCATTTCACACAATTTAAAAAGCCAACGCAGAGACATTACAGTGAGGTCCAAAGAAAACATATACATGATGAGTATCTTGCAGAGTCATCTGCAAATATGGTGGCTATATTTTAGTATTGTTGTTATTACCCATTATTATTATTTTCTTTTCTTACCGCTAAGAAAATGACAGCCTACAAAAGTTAAGGTGGTTTGCTGTGATTAAAACTTCCTTGACACTTAAGCAAATGTTCTTTCTACTTTGTCACTAGGCCAGTTGACCTATGTGATGAACAGCTACAATGGACTCCCGAAATGGCAGGCAGAGACAGAATGGGATAATGTAGGATGCCTTCCTACTACATTCCTTTGCATTCATGACAGTCGATTGCCACAGTGAAAGTCTGGCATCTCAATGTGAGAATCAACACATCTTGGAGGCCATTGAATTCCTACCCTCTTTCCAAAAGTGGAATTGCTGCCTTTTCTTTCCCCTTTGCCCGTTGAAATTTAGTGGATTAGGAAACAAATTTGAACTATAAGGACTGAAGTTCTTTAAGCTGGCACAAATTGGGGTCGTCAGTATAATTTTAGCAAGAGGCATTGAGAACTGAACAAACGGAGCAGGCTTACCTCAAAGACCAATGTCTCATTTGTGGGCCCTGGTGCAGACAGACGCTCTGGGCGGTTAAACGCCCGCTGGTATTCAAACACTGTCCCGGCGAAGGTGAACTCCCCGGGCCAGTCGATGCTCCAGCCCCCCGTGAGGTAGTACTTGTGACTGAGGCTCCGGATGGCAAGGTAACTGGAGGAGATCTGCAGTTCTCGGACTTCAATGCTTCGGGCCCCCGCCGGGACAATGACCACCGGGTAATATTCTAGGAGGAAAGAACAGAACATTTCTGTCTACCGCACTGTGCATCAGGGAAAGGTAACCAGAAATACTCAGATGTGTGTATAGAGTCTATTTTAATAGCATGAGATTTTTGAATCACTAACATCCATTCCTACTCTATGAAGTGAAAATGATCAATTATTTCATTTTCCAAGTGCAGGAACACCAGAAAGATGTGTGTGGGCAGGAGATACACTCTTCTTTCCAGAACGTCAAAGGCCATAAAAACTCAAGAATACTTCTTATTTCTAAGCTACCCAGAAGAGATTTAGAGCCATGTACTTCCACAGTGACACTCAGAAAATAGGGATCAAAGTTTAATTTTACTCAAGATATTTAGCTAATAGCTTCAAGTATTCAGTTAATGTGAGTGTGGATCACAATTCACCTCATGAATCATAAGTTTCATGGTATGTGGGACATATGACAGCCGGGTCAGTATATTAAAACTGCAAAATAGAAAGGCATGTGCTTAACACATCTCTGAGACGCGTGTACTGATGAAATGCTTCACACTAAAAAAACGTCTACCGCTGACCCGTGCATGAGCACCGAAGCCATCGTCTGCTCTCTGTCAGGAGAGCAGGTAAAAGGCTCAGCCACAGTAAGCATGACTTAAGCTTTTTAGTAGCAAACTGTGTTGCATGAGCGACAGCAGTGCGAACGCAGCGCCTCTTACCATTTGCTTTATGCTGGTTGAGATACAGGCCTTTATAAAACTTGCAAGTCGAGTTGTCACCTTTGCAAACACCACATGCATCTGAAACTGCCTTAGAGCCAAGTTCATGATCACATCCCACTGGCTGTGACAAAAAAAATAAAAAAAGAAATAAGTGAGAAAATCAAAGATGAGGAGAGCCAGTGGCTAAGAATAACCAACTGGTCCATGGTTTTCTGTAATTATAGAACATTAGGAAGGTCATATGGCTATATGGTTAAAAGCAGAGTCTCCAGTTTGACTGACTTGGGGTCCAAATCCTTCCTCTGCTATTACTAGGTGCACGCCTAGGGCAATTATAAAACTGGAATATAAAGTCACTGTGGCTGCCAGTGGCAGGGGAGCTTATTCAGGGCAGCTCTACCACTGAAACATAAAAACAGCTGGGACACACACACACACACACACACACACAACACCCTTAAAAGATCAAAGAGCTCACAATCTAATTAAAATAAAAAAGAAAGTGGATATCCAAAGAGAAAGGAAAACTAATCAGAAATAGCACTATTTCAAAACACATTTGTGAGGTTCTAATCATGTACAGAATGTACTTGGCAAACACACAGTAAAAGTTTACTACTGTAATTTACCTCCTCCCTTAATTTTACAACTACTATGCATCGTAGGATGTATCGCCATCACGACATGGAAAAGGAGTGAAAGAGAAGCTAAAAAAAGCAGACAGGGCCACTCACAAAGTACATGGGGAATCTAGAGATGCTGCTCACACCCAGTTTGAGAATATTGCCCTTTTGCCCTATGCCATCCGCTTTTCTCCAGACACAGAATCTTTTGCAAGACTTCCCACTGCATACGTTTGATAGGAGGAAATGCAAGCATGATCATACATCCCAGAACAGAAATGTTTTCTTACTTCACAAATCCCATCAATACAAACATCATTCTTGTTTGGGGAGCAAAGAGTTCCGTCTTTCACCTTGCCAGACATTGCGAAAAAAAACTCAAAGTTCTCAGCCTTGCAGTACAGTTTACATCGATCTTCCTCTAGAAGCAAAGAGGACAAGAGAGGACATGGTTAAGAGGGAATCACAGGAAATATGACATGAGTACCAAAAGGACGAATTAGATTTATTTAGAAAGCTACCATGATCAAAATGGGAAATGTTACACAGTTTTGTGTGTGTGTGTGTGTGTGTGTGTGTGCACATGCATGAAAAAATATATATATGTGGCTTTCAAAAATATGAATCCTATTTACAATCCATATAAAGCTGTTTTAATATTCACAAATTAGAATTTTATTTTTCTAATCCTTAGTAGTAACTGTGATACACATGATTGGTGTAGCTAGTGTCCTTGGATAATAAATATCTTGGGCTTTACAGACCCTACCTTCTGCCAGTGACAATATATAAATGAAGGAGCATTATTGTTTTCCAATAAAACTTTATTTAAAAAACAAACAGGTCAGATTTGGCCTGCAGGCCATAGTTTGCTGTGACTTAGGACACCGATTACTTTAGATAGTTATCAAGCCTGTTAAGAGGAAAAGTTTTAGGCACTTTGGGGGGTTGGGGGGGAAAGTCTATGGTGAAATGTTTACAAAACAAGTAGAGAATAATCATATCATGAAAAGGAAGAGGAAACTAAGTCTGAAGGTTAAAAAAAAATGTAACTTGTATTGGCCATTACGTCCCTGAGAAGTTTCTGGTACATTAGACAAAAAAGAAAAAATTCTTATATTTATAGCTCTTGTTATCAGAAAGGAGTTATGCCAATTTCCCAAATAGAAAGAGTTCTTCTTGGCCAGGAACCCCAGATGATGTTTCTCACATGAGACCTCACGTAGGCGGTGCTGTGCGATAACCCTGACAACAGTGTTACAACAAATACATAAACAGTTTGCAAACAGTTGTGTTTCATAAAAACCTCTCAATAAAGGACAAGGTCAAAACTCAAATGTGAAAGAAGTTAGATTATTATGGTCCAAATACACAGACATGTGGATGGGTTAAAAGTCTCTCTCTCTCACTTAGGAAATGTTTTTAAAACAGCAGTTTTATTTAATAGCTCCTCACTTTGGCACATGAGATTAGGGAGCTGGAAGACATGTGTTTGTGTGTGTGCAGATACACACAAACACTTATCTCTGTTCTCCATCATTCCCAGGAATTAACAAGTTCTAGAAAGTTCAGTTCCCAACACAGGTCCCTGGGCAAGTTTATGAACTAGTCTATTAGAAACACAGAAGAAGGAGAAACCCCACCCTACTTAAGACAGACTGCCTCCACTTATAAATAATGTGTCCCCTTGTTCCTCCCAAACTCTGTGAATGTCACAAGACCTTCAGATCATGGTTAGTCTTTTCTGATCCTAAGTAAATATCACAAGAAGGAGGGGGACGAGAAGGCCTTAATTTTTCTGTCTCCCACCACTAGGACGTGAGATCCTAGGACTGGGTCTCTGTGTTAGTCAGTGCAGTTTCCTCTGCATCTAGCAGCGTGTCCCCCAGGCATAAATGCCCAGTAAACACCTACACACACCAAGAGAATGAATGAAATGGCATGCTGCTCCCTACTTAGTAAAAACCGCAATCAAGTCAGTAAAAAAAACTCTCGAAACCAAAAAAAAAAAATTTTACAAGTTACCAAATGTGTTTGCTGAGCTTTCTGCTTATGTGTGCAACACAAACTCTATTTAAAAAGTGGTAAGAGAATACATTCCATCAGCACTATATTTGAATGAGAGATGTGATGTGGGAAAGGCCAAGGAACATCCAAGAAGACAAGGCGAAGAACAGAAGGGGAAGTGACAGGAGTGGGACGCCTGAGCCTTGGAGACAGAGCCAAGTGTGAGGACCATGGGATGACGGGAGTGTAAGACCAAGGACAGAAATCTTCAAACGTTGGGACTGAAAGCACCTGCATCCATTCTATCCAAGAGCCCAGTGGAACCCGTTGTGTGGTGTCCTTCCTAGACAATGAACCCAGTTCCCAGTACCATGCCTCTAGTGATCTACTCAGGATAAGAACACACTTCTAGTATGGACAGTTGATACGGATATATTCATTCCAAAATGTATCTGTATGTGCCAAGTTCTTAGATGCTGGAGGTACAAACAGACGCCAGATGGGCAAAGGCTTCGTCCCAGTGGAACCTAAATTATTGTGGGGAGAAAGATAATGAATAAATGACTCAACAATATAAATTCATGCACTGATAAGAGCCGTGAAGAACACAGCAGGCCAGAGGTTCTGGGAATGACATGAAGGAAGGATATTTTGGGTAGGCTGGCAAGGAAAGTCTCTCCAGAGGAGACAATACTGGAGAGGAAGTTCTTAGCCCTGGAATTAATTCTGTTCTCTGAAGTAATTTCAAATAAATCTAAATCCCTTTGTATTCATGCTCTCTGAATTTCTGTGGGTAACTAGTCTCTTTTCTCTCTCCTTTGGTTAAGTTTCCAGATTATTCTATTGGGGAATTCAGCTTTTAAAAAATGAATGCATTCCCTGCTTTCTCATCAAAGTCTAAGAGAGAAAGAAAGTACCCTGAGACAAGCTGGCATTGCAGGTACCCGTTTGTTCCATAAAGCAAGAAAGAGGCACACTATTAAGTATTGCTTTTTAAAAAAATCTTTAAAATTCATTTATAAAAAAAAATTATATGTATTATCTCAATGCAGTGAGAAGCACTGGATATATCAACAATGAAATGTCATACAGCGTACGTTGCACTTCCTCCCGAGGTCTGAATTTTCAAGTCTGCCTTCGCCTGTGCGACTAACAGTCATGACTTCGAACCAAGTCCGTGCTCCCGCCACGACCGGTCTGGTACTGAGCAAAGCGGCACTACCTCCCCTCGGATTTGGAGGGGCCACTTGTTCTACATTGTCCTTAGTCACACTGGCTCCCTTATGGCCACTGATAACGGGTGTTCATTCTGAGCTTCTGCACAGAAACGGCCCTCAGCCTTACTTCTCATGAATTGCCATTAACTTTAGTCTCCTCCCCAGGCTGCCCATGTGCGGGTGGGATTCATACTTTTCTCCCTTTTTCAAGGGAAGATGCGTGAGTTTTGGAAAAGAAGAGACAGAAAACAACTAGGTGGCAGCTCATCCTGCAAAGGGAATAGAACATGTGCATAACCAGAACAAGTACTGTGAGACTTAGTTGACATAAAAAAATCTACTTTAAATTTCAAAAATACAAGCCATACCTTTAAGTTATAATAAGTACTAAGAACCTAGCATAGAGACATTGTTTTACTCATGGGAGCGCCCTTTGCTAATAGGCCTGCCCATGCCTGTAATCATCCAATGTGTCAGTTACTGAATATGGTGTCTCTACGGGACTTAAGTGGTTTCACGAGTTTTTGGTCTGGACAATTCATACCAATTTCAATTAACATCCCTGGGAGACTTAATTGCTGAAATGTCAAAGGTAGTTTTAGAAACATAAGTACATTCCAAACACATGAACTTGGCCTCCAGAAATGGGAGACAAGAGGCATTGTGGGGAAAAATAAGCAAAAGCTATGGAACCGAATGAAAAACTGGGGCAAGACAGGTCTGGGTAAACACTGAAACTCTTTTCTGTAGGCAGCAGTTTCTCCTGTGTTGTTCGTTCACATTACTGTCCACATGGGGACATATTTGTTTGAGATTCACAGAGACCAAATTACCTTCCACTTTCGTATAGGGTTTCCACTGGTAGAACCATCCACGGAAAGGTTTGCTGTTGTATTCTGCACACTGCTGGGCTCGAAAATCCAAGCTGTTTTCATTACAAGGGTTAATATTGCACAGCTGATATATACGGCTAGAACCCGGACAGAACTTGCCGCCATACTGAGGTCTAAAAATAAAATCAAAGAACTTTAATAATAGCAATTGAAGGGCTCGCTGTTAGTCACAGGCAATAATACAGGATGAACACTGTCCCAGTGTATGCGGTGCACACAGTCTATTACAAGAATGGAAATATGATGCACACAACCTGCCAGGTCCCTTCTTATATCTGTGGCAGACATAACTAATTAACTAGGGATTTTTTTTCTTTTTTTTTTTGTTCTTTTCTTAACATAACCCTCAGTGGGTCACTAGCACTGCTCGTCAGTTGGAATTGCCATGTTAGATCAAACTCATTTGCTACTTCTGATCCAATTTTTACATTCTGGCAATTTCCTTAAAGACTGATGGAAGCATATTCTTGATCCTCATCATATCGCTTCACGTGTTGGGGAAATTTGTAAACACACTTAAATGTTCTTACTGATGTAGGTGTGTGCTTGTGTGCTACACCCACGAACACACGTGCCCTGTAATTGTGAGCAAGAAGTCTGATCTGCCATGTTCTCCAATTTAGCTCTGTCAGTTAATGAGCTGATATTTTGATTATGGTCTGACTCATGTGTGTCTTATTCTAACTGGTTTTAAACTCCAAGGAAAATCTCCCTTGTTCTCATCTGCATAACCCTTTTTAACTTTGCAGGTAGCCCACCCCTCTTCTGCCAAACACAGTGAGGAATGGATTTCTGGATTAGGGAATCCCATTAGGACATAAATAATTATGATTTAACGGCAAGCTCTTTAAGATCTTGAAGGCAGAAAAGCCAGAAAGCAAAATAAAGAAAAAAGGAGCATAAACCAAACTGAAAATTACCAACAACGTCTTATCCAGCTTACTACAGGCACAAAGTGATTGTTTCTTCTCATTCTCACTTTTTGGTAGTTTTCTCTAAAGGTTAAAACCCCAACTATGGGTCTTCTCATACTAAAGCTCAATGCAAATGGGTAATGTGCAAAGATGGCTCCAGGTTAATAAATTTATGTGATTAAAATTCCTTGTCTCTTTAGGAAGCACAAGAATGTGATAAAACACCCCTGGATTGCTTTAGCATATTTCACCAAATCCTCCTGCAGCTTTTTGCTAAAATGAATCCAACAGAAACGGGAAGTGTCACACCGCCAGAATGAGGCTGTTTCGCTCTTTCAAAACATTCTGGAGCAACTACTTAAACACTCAGCAGCCATTGTGCTGGGTCAAATCCCTGAAGACTTTCAAAATAATTATCTAACAAGCATTTAGAAAAACCTTAAGGGGCCATATGATTGTCTTACCATTCTTGGTCATCTTTACAAGGCATATTTGAAACTTTTCTTGGTTTAAAACTTTCTGTCTGGGATTTTACAAATAACCTTCATTTAGACCATACAAATTTGAATGAACTCAAAGAAGATCAATGTATTACTTTTCCAGCTCAGAAGCTGTAGCCTGGAAAAGACCTCAAAACTCAGAGAGCCATCCCCTCATTATGCAGGTGGAGTGCAAAGTAGTTGTAAAGCTCATAAAACTTGCTGAATGGAGGTCGCATGGCTAGAAAGAGACAGCAGCATAAACCCTCACCCCTGCGGCCTGCCCCTGTTCTCTGACTCTGTTCTGCCTGACTGCAGCTGAGGCAGAATGGGCTAGCACCCAAAGGACGCAAGTAGCACAATGGTTAGGGAGTTGGCCTTTATCGTGAGGATCTAGACCTAACAGTCTCTGTCACTCCCCAGCTTATCTTTAGGCAAATTTACTTAACCTCCTATTGCAGGGGCCATTGTGATGACTAACTGAGATGTTTATAAAGAGCTTAGTGCAGAGTCAGCCAAATAAATTATAACTATTTTCAAATGCTTTCTATTTTTACTGACTGACAAAAATTTGAACTTTTCCATCACATTTTTCAATACATTTTTCTGCAGCTTAAAAGAAGAGGGTTAGGATCAATTAACGGAAAATTCTGCTGTGACATCCCTTGGTGTAATAAGATTAAAAACAAAAATATGAAGTCAGAAAACATATATCTAGGCCCATGATTTTGTCCTTATATTAGATGACTGTGAAGTATACCCCTATTATTTATTAAGACTTGACTACAACTAGTTGTAACTTTGGCTGTCTGGCCGATCATTAGAATCACTTGGGGAGCTCTGTTTTAAAAAAATAGACTCACTCACTTGTGAGCCCTTCCACAGACTTTCTCAGGAAGAATGTATGATGGGGAAGATCCAGAAATTGGAGTTTTCTTAAGCACACTTGGTGACTCAGATAATCAGTTGAGACTGAAAATTACTGGTTAGAAAATGAGCAGAGATTTAATTATTATTCTGGAGCTATGACTCTAGGGGTATATTGTTCTTTCTCAGATAGACTGGCATTTTAGGAAATTTCCAGAATGCCTTAGCATGTTTAATTTCCTCTATATTAATTTTGGCTATTGATTTTCTTGAGCAGGGTTTATAGGAATTTTACTCAACTCTGTTACAGTGTAATGATCGAAAAGAGAGCCAGAAAAAAGTGTCAAGGATTAAGACTGTGGGCTCTTGGTCTGACTGGACCATTAACAGCTTGGTGATCTGGCCAAGGGTGGCTGCTCTGAATGAGGCCTTCCCTGCACTGGTCACCATTTGTAAAATAACTGGATCAGACAACCGGCTGCAAATGCCTGGAGAAGCATTTTGAGATGGTTCCTAAGGCACAGTAGGGCTCAGGAAAAAACAGGGCTTTGATCAATTAAAAAATGTCTTCTGTGGACATGAGAAAAAGACGGGCCTAATGTTCCTGGTACTGGTCATTCCAGAACCAGATAACCTTTAAACTATTTCTCAGCTGAAAAATTTGATAAATCCATGAATCAGCCAGGAATAATTCATTTTGTATGAAACAAAGTATGTCCTGGGAAAACCATCATTATGCGAAATAAAAAGCTTGTACTGCTTTTCACATGAGAAAGTGAAAATGATTAGGCTGAATGATGTGAACAGACCAAATGTTTAAAGTGAAACAAGAAAGAAGTTAGTAACTTGAAATAGGGAAAGAAAAAAGAAAAACTACTGTAACCAAGTGAAATAAGAACAGGGAACACTAATTCACTTGTCGTGGGAAAACTGATCATTACCTTGTTTTATTTGTGACTTCGTGCACAATTAAACAGTATCCTGATCAGCCTTAACCTTGTTCAAAATGATAAAAATGGCACCAAGTGGAACTGCATTACTGATTGATTCTTTTATATTAGGCATCTCTCATGCTACAATATGATATTTCCATGAAGAGTGCCCTATTACAATGAAATTTCTCAATCCCACAGATAGGAGAGAGGTTTTAATTTAAATCTCAGGGGCATCATTCATGCACTTTACCAGCAGAGCTATTATATTAGGTAATCTATTTCTTTCTTGGGAATATATTGAGATTGTAAAATGTTGTGCTGTATGAAAACCAGATCCATGAAATATGTTGCAAAGATGAAAAGTAATATAATGGTTTTAACAATTCCATCCAAGACATGGGCTACATTCAAAGTATGAAGAGGGTGGTTTTAGAAATCTGGTTTAAGTTGTAAATGCATCACAAGCCTCTCTACCATTATAACTACTTCCTGGACCTGAAAAGACCTGTGAGTTTCAGCCAGGGATGGCTTTACCCCATTTCCATAACTTGGAGGCTTATAGGGGAAGAAGAGCCAGCCTGCTGGCATCTAGTGGGTAGAGAGTAAAGCTGCCCGCTGAGCATGCTGCCATGCCCAGGACAAACCCCCATAACAGAATTGCCAGCCATGAAATCCTAGATTAGGCTGGCACATTCCAAAGAGCACCTAAAAACCCCAGTCCAAGTATCTCCCGACCTTCCCTTGTACCTTGGAACAAGCCGGCCATTTGATCCATCCTTGGTCTGCTGACTCAGACAAAGTAAGCACCATTCGTCTCTTTTAAAATTTCCTTTTTTCCCAGTTGCATTCCCTATTTTAATTCTCAATCTACCAAACATTTACACACTGCTTACAACATGCCAGGTACTTTTAAAAAGCACTTCACAACTATTAGCTCAGTCTATGCGGGCACTCTCATTATCCCTCTTTTATAAAAGTCGCATCTAGTGCAGGGAGGGCAGGTTGTCTTGTGGCCACACAACTAGACAAGAGTTGGCAGGGAGGCCAACCCAAGTTCTTGGGGTCAAGAGTCTGTGTTCTTACCTCCATGCTAAGCCACCACTCAAACAGTGTTGTGAAATCAAATCCTCTATTTTCCAAGTGACCTGTCACATCTTTCTCATTCTGGCACATTCTCCAAAGTCCCATTTCATTGGTCAGCCCTCCCCCATGGCTTCGGAGGGCTGACCCTCTGGTACCCCGTTCTCCCGGAGAGCAGACGACGAAGATGAGGAAAGGCAACCAGCCCTTTAGCTGAATGCCTGCTGGATGGTCCCAGTATGTCAGGAATTCTACAGACACAATTTCTAATCCCCGCACAATTTCGGAGGTGGGCATGTTTATCTCTATTTTATACATAAACCCAAGATCAGAGGTCAAGTGACTTGCCAAAGCAACCCAGTCACGAAGTGGCAGACCCAGGATTTCGAGCCAGATCTTTCTATCTTCCAAACCTGGGTTCTTTTTGCATCACATGCCCATCAGGAAATATACATCTCCCATGTATTTCATGTGGGAATTAGAGCGGGTAACAGGAACATGGAACCACCTGCATTTTCACTGAGCACAAAATGCGGCTCAGCATCCCAGCCTGAGGCGACCAGAGGGTGCCCAGAGGTGAGCACGCGCCAGTTTCAATCCATACATGTTTCTATTATGCTCACAGAATTTTGATGGATTTAAAGAAAACAGAATTCATTGTCAATATTTTTTAAATTGTGAAGTTTCACACACATTTTTTTGGATCTCTGATTTCTCTTGAAAAGTCAGGCCAATCTGTCAACACGTGTTGATGTACATGCCCGCAAGGCAGAAACCAACCCGCTTTCCCCTAGTTCATGCGTTTGAGACACACACGTCTACCTGCCAAGCTTTCGTGTTCTACATTCTCGCAGGTATTTAGCGACATGACCGCCCAGCTCTTAGACGCAGGAAATAGCTCAGGCTATTATTTGAGCCCTCGATCGTCATCTTCACACACAGACTAACTCCTTGGCTGATTTTAGCTTGCTGCCCACTTGCCTCCCCACAGTGCATAGGGCCTTTAACAGACAAACACTAACATCCAGTTGATGGCTATTAACCAGAGGGAGGAACATCACACTTAAAAAGCGTATAAGCAAACTACAAAAAGCATACTGCTGGCTGAAGGTCAATGCCTTATGAAGGCTGACTTCCTTTTGGAGCCTTACTTGGGGTCGTTGCAGTGTCTCTCCTGGTACTTGACTCCTCCGCCACAAGTTCGGGAACACTCGGACCACTTGGACCAGGCGGACCACTGGCCATGGACAGGCCGGGGCCCGCGCTCCCCAAACTTTACACACTGGCCTTGCCGACACCACTGTGAAGAGAGCGTGTGACACGTTTCCTGTCAGAGTCCACCTGGGGAAGGGCAAGGAGGTACAAACACCTGCACATTAACAGGGACAGCGGGTCTGCTGGCCCACGGGAGAAGACCCCGCACCTTGATGCCTTTCCCAGCCGGCTGCGCTTTATGAACACCCGGTGACACCGAGTTTTCCGCATGCATTTGGAAAGGCTGACATCCAGACAGAAGAGCACCTGCCACCCGCAGGCTGAGTATTATATGCTTTGTAAGCTGTCGAGGTGAAATGTTCAGATAAGATTCCACCCAATAGCCAAGGGAGTCAGCGCTTCAACGGGACGGCAGGGCCCCCGCCGCTGACGCACAGCGCTGCTCACAGAACAACTGGGATCGTTCGCTCAGGGAGAACCTGAGGCTCTTAAGACAGTAACACAGAATTTATCACTGTGCATGACTATCTCGTCATAAACACAGATGCAATCATGCATACATTTTTGTTTATTCCAAACCACCCTTATCGAACAGTTCTTAGGAAACCGAATGGCTTCCAGTGTCCACAAACTGTGCTTTCAGATAACACCCTTTGACCTTTGTAGGAAGGGTCCCTACTTCTGACCCTCCCCTCCAATAACTTTGAGCCCCCTGAGTGAGCCCGAGGGCTTTCATTTGCCAGTGATGCGATCCAGCCGGGCCGAGAGCTGTTTCCTGCGTTACCCTTTCCATTTTAGTGGACCCTTGGACTATGTCCCCGGCTTTGCTGGTCATCTCTGTCCTTGGCGGGAGGGTCCCATCAGCCTCTGACAGTGGATTTTTTTTCCCGTGATGCTTTGATTATGAGCAAGTTCCGCATGACTTAGCCTAACAGCACACTCTCCTAAAAGCCTCAGCAATGAGATCCAAAGGGCTGGGGTTTCAATGGTGCCAGGTTCTGGGGAGGGGTGGGGGTGCAGTCACAGAATTACAGGGAGGTTGTTGGGCTTTCAAATCTTCACTTCCCCCCTGTGGTGCGTTTGGCTCCATGGCTGTTTATTGTGTTGCTAGTCAGTGCACTGTGTCTGGGTCAACACACGGCTTCCTTCCTTCAAATTCTTGCCATGTGCTCATTACTTCTATTTAAATGTCTCTTTCCCTTGGATTAATGGCCGTTTCAGAGTTTGCATGAAATCATATCGCATAGCTGAGAGCTTTTGGGGGAAAAGCAATTGGTTTTTGGAGGATTTTGTTCACCAGAGGCATGAGTCTGAATCTTCCCTACCAGGAATCCTCCACTCTCCTGGGTGGGTTCCATGGCTGAGACAAAATAACAAGAGCCAATAGCAACGGAAGCAGCTACCGACTATTCAGGTGCTTCCAATGTGCCCCAAATGGTGCAGGCAGGGAGGCCAGGGGTGGGAGATGCAATATCTAATGCAATCGTCCAAAGCAGCTAGGCCTTCGGAGTTAAAAGTTCTCTGGACGACAGGAATTTAGCAAAGAAATACTAACTTGCTGGGAGTCACACAGCTCCCCCAGTAGCTATGTAACCAAGACTGGATTTAAACTCTGTAGCCAGAGCTCCTAAACAGGAAACATACACTTCTCATCTCAGAGGCCAATTGCCCAACAATGTATTTTAACTCGAAGCCAATGAAATGCCCTTTGTTAGAAACATCGTTTTTAGATCTGTTCCAGCACTTAAATTAATTTGACTCTCTTTTATTTCAGCGCTCGCCCTGTACTGGGTTAGGGTGCTGGCAGATTATCTCCTCTGGCTTTTTCAATCAGTATAGAAATCAGGAATAAACACATACATGCACGAACCACATGTGTATATAAAAGGCAAATATAAAATATATATACATATAATTTTATCAATCTGTTTACATATATATTTCTAGCACTGCTGCTCGTTTCACACTGAATGGCCATGAGTTGGGCAAATACCTCCTATGACAGGTAGCAAACCCAGATTTTTCTGCCCTTGCACACATAGTCTACATTAAAAAATGTGGCTTTTATATCCTCACATGTTCACTGAACATGGGCAGCAGTTATCACGGAAGAACTAAGGACTGGAGAAATAAAGGGAAGGACTCAGGTAGGTTCCAGTTATGAAGCAATGAACAAAACATGGCATAGCTATTACTCGGCCACACACTGAAGATACAGCATGAGGAATACACAGCCCTGGCCTCGCAGAGCTCACAGTCTAGCAACCAGCCAATTATACCTCTGAGTGAAGGAAGATTCAGAGATGCATATGTACGTGAATGCGGTAATAACTGCTCTGGAGTGTTGATGGATGGAACTTATCAGAAATGCTTTCTACTGAGGGTGACCTTCCGTGGAGGGCTTTCCCCAGTATATGTAACTGTAGTCTGGTGTTTTAAGAATGAGGTTGGGGGAATGATATTAGGGCATCCATTTTCTAACTCCTGGCTTGATTTGTCTCCTGTTATGTTAACTGAAGTCTAACCCAGGAGAATTTTCACTCCCATTTTCATCCGTGGTGTATTTATGTAACAAACAGACCCTAGCACTCACTCCTCATTTATTATATCAATCTTTTCTTACACATCCCTCTCATATTTAATACTGTTGCTGTCTTAATGAAAAAACAAATACCCATTAATCCTCAGGTTTCAAGTTCTACATTGTGGTGCTTCAAATAAAATGGTTTGAATAGTACTTATATTCTCAATTATTTAATTAATTTACTGTTTCGTATCTTGGCAGCTAAAACACTCCTGTGAACACATGCAATGAAAATCCTTCCTGGGACTTTTCCTAAGAGGTATGTTTGATTAAAAACCTGCGCATAATGCCTCGATTTCTAAAATGACTTTATTTAAAATAATAGAGAGTTAAAAATTGCAAACCTTTTAAGAGATGTTGAGCAAATGACTTAAATGTGGGAAGCATTCTCTGAATGCCCATTTATTCTCATGTGTCCATGCCTCCGCCTCTATCATTCATGTCCCACTGAAAGTCTCTCTCTTGTCCAACTGAAGAGCTTCCATTCAAATCCCAACATCCACTTTTGCACACCCACACCCTATAGTTTATTTTAACTGCACACCTAATCCCAAGCCAAGATTTCATTTCTTATTCATTTGGGTCTTAATAGTAACTGTGTGCTTAAACAAGATGTGTTTAAAAAGAAAGAGTTATTGCCCTCTGTGCAGGTTTCCCCACCAGACGTGAGTTCTGGAAGAGATAAAATTTTAGTTTTATTTATCTCTGTACCCCCAGAGCCTCATGTCCCTGATATCTAATTAGTTTATAAATTACTCTTGTACTGAATTTGCTTTAAACGGCCAGTTCCTCTAGACAGGCTTGTGCTGCCTCGAGACAGCCAAAAGCAGAGATTGGAACACCTGACATCTCATATTCTCTCGCCAGTCACAGTTCACGGGTCACAGTCTTTCAAAGGGACAACTCAAATCTGGATCATCTGCTGGTACCTCAAGGGCAACTTTCCCTCCAGACTCTACTGGGAGAGGGGAAGAAAAACAGAAACTAATATATGAGAGTTCTGGATTCATAACACAGACATCTCCCAAGTTATAGTCTTGCATATTGGAAAGGGTTCTTAGGATTGAAGATACCTGCTAGCAAAAAGTACTTTCACATACAACCTTGATGGAAATGAGGCTTAGCTTAGGAGTCACTCTAAGTGACTGGTCATATCAGAAGATCCGTGACAGGTCCTGGGAGTAGTAGAGGCCCTCGAGGGACAGTCCTGTCTTTGCTACTAACGGGGACATCTGTTCCCTGAGGTTGTTCTACACGGAATCAAGTTTAAAAGGCAAACATTATGCAATAAAACCTACCCATTCGTGGAAAAAGAATTTTTTTGACCCAAGCCTGCATCAAAAAATAGAAAACAAAGGCAAAAAGGAAAGAAAAACCTTCTTAACCAATTGAGCCAACTGTGTTATATGAGCATTTTTCTAATTGCTGCTAAATAATGCTGGTTCATTTAAGGAGAAGTCAGAAAAATGCAGGCAGCCAAGGCACTCCATTCTGAGGTCAGAGCACAAGCAGTTGGTGTTCTATGCTTGATCAAGTTTCTAGAACTCACAAACTACCACGTATGCAGTTTACCATACTCAAGCCACACAAGGTCCCTTCCGCCGCTGGCATAAACTTGGTCTCACACCTGTGGCCCACTCGGTGGCACCAGAGTGATTTGCAGATGTCCTGAAAGGAGAGAAGAAGCTGGTGAGGTGGGGGGTGAGACAATAAAAACGAAAATGCCCAAAACTTTTGTGCACAGTATTATATTTTAAGGTGGCCGAATTGAGGCCTTATCTGGGAAGTAGGGGCAAGTGGAGCTGGCAGAAGAAGGGCAACCAGGGTTATGTTCCAGCAATGGTTCCACGCTGCTCAGATATTCATGTGTGCTTGTTAACAACCGCGAGGCAATCATAGTTTAGAGGCCATTTGGCTTAAAATGAAGAGGCCTGGTCTCTGATAACCCAGACCACCAGTGAGACAGAGCAGGCCGAGACTGGGGTGGAGCAAATCTGATGCGACACTTGTCCCGGAATTCCAGGTCACACATTCTAGGGACATGGCACATGAGTTTCTTAAGTGCCGTCTCCTCACCTGTGAAACAGTGGTAAAATAAGCATTTGCCTTTCCAGGGCTGTTTTCAAGGCCGAATGGTACAAATGCTCATCGTTATCTTCCTTGTCTTTATAGTACTTTTTAGGCATTATGACAGTTGAATTCTCACACTAGACCTATGAAATAATTTAGCTTTCCTGCTAGGCTATACTGCAGAATAAATGGCCCCCCAAAATAACCATGTCCTAACCCCCGGAATGGGTGACTATGGGAGGTAATAGGCAAAGGAGAATTAAAGATGCAGATAGAATTAAGGCTGAGCTTGAGATGAGCATGAGCTGAGCTTGAGATGGGGAAATGACCTTAAATTTTCCAGATGGGCTCAAGGTAATCACAGAGTCCTTAAAGAGGGAAGAGGAAAACAGAAGAGACTCAGAGAGATGACGGTGTGAGGACCAGTGGGTGGGGGATGTCGAGGGCTGTGAAGACGGAGGAGGGAATGAGCTCTGGGATGCAGGTGCTTCCAGGAGAGGGAGAAGGCGAGAAAATGGCTTCTCTGCTAGAGGTCCCAGAAGGGGCACAGCCCTGCTGACACCTGCTGTCAGCTCCATGAGACTCACTTCAGGTGGCAACCTCTACAATAGAAAGAAAGTAGCACTGTGTGGTTTTAAGTCACTGAGTCTGTGGACATTTATTACTGTAGCCATAGGGAACGAATCCTCTTCCTAACACCAGGCACTCAACTAATGTCCCATGTGAACGCATGTAGACGAGGGTGCAGAGCAAGCTACTGACCCTTTCAAAGCTGTCAAGTCACACGGCTGGTAAGGGCAGATGCAGGACTCACACTGGTCTGATTCCACAGGCCAGGCCCTTCACCACTGCCCTGGACCAGGATGGGCTGTGCACGGATGTCGGGCAGTTGTCAACTTCCCCAGGCCTCTGCCACCTCTCTCTAAAGGACAGGGATGGAACCAGACTCCTTCCAGCTCGAACAGCTGCAGGGCCTACTCAGGATCACGTCATTAAGGGAATGTCAAAACCAAGAAATGTCAAAGTGATTCCATTTTGCTTGCCACCTTCTATTTACTGAACATGTATGTGGACACACACATTTGGGGGAAAATATGAACCATCAAGGAAGAAACAAAATACTTTTCTGTGGTCACTCTGAAAATTCAATTCCCAGGCACCCAATTCCCCAAGCTTTCCAGTTAATATAGATTTCATGGCTGGGAAATATGGCAAGAACATGCTTAGAAATATTTCCCAAAAAACTTTTCCACGGGGCTGAGAAAAGAAAACACAGGGAAACCAGAGAGGTGGGCAGTGCATCTGGTCTTGGAGACCACAAAATCCTTAAGACCAAAAAAGAATGCAAGAATATTAGGACATTGCCTGAAGACACCATCGCCGTCACCGGCCACAGACGTGTGCCACACACACACCAGTTGTGAATCTCAAAACAGCTCCAAGACACCATATGGAAATGTGCCCTGTGGACATGGACCTGCCACGGGCACTGGAAGCATAAGGCAGCCTTCCAAGAAAGTGGCACAGGGTCACCAACTCTGTGAGCCCCCATATTGTGTCACCCTGGTCCAAGGGGAACAAGTTAGTGTGGAAAAAAGACAGTCGGCTTCAAAAGGAAGGAAAGGGAGGAACCGCTGAAACAAAGCCGCAGTTCCAAAAGCCTTTCAGAATTAAACTGTTTTCCTTCGTGTGGCCAGGGGAAAGCCATCACCCGCACCCAGAGCCGAGGTGGCAGCCACCACAATGGCCAGAGGGCAGACCAAGGCAGAGAGGCCCAGATTCCACAGCTCATGGCAAGCCCCGGGCTAAGGAGCAAGGCAGCCGGAGAAGCCGAGGAAAATAAAGCAAAGCACGAGGACACAGCGATTCCAGGGCGAACAAGGACGGGCTCTGCAAACATGTTATTTCTCCTGTGGTGAGAACAGAAGTCAGACATAATCATAGCCGACTCTATGGTTCAGCGACCAGGGGAGCCCTCCGAGAGTTCCCTTTCAGAGGAGACAGCAACGGGGCTTTGCCCTTTTTCGCCTGTTCTTTCCTCTTTTCTTCCAGCATATTCCACTAACTTGTCTTTATCTATAATTTCCTAGACGTAAGTCATAATTTAAGGGAAGAAGAAATAACCACAGAGACGCCGAGGTCTCACGCTGCCTAGATGGGATTTTTAAGGAAGGAGGCCCAGCGTGTGTGCTGTTCCGTCTGGTGGGCCATGCTCTCTGGCTGTATTCTAAAGGACGGGTGCCCCTTCAGGCAAAGCCTGACATGCTAAGTGCTACTGGTCTTTGCAAACCAAATTCTATAAAGCATCTCAAACTTAATACAACCACAACAAAATGCCCCAGCTGTCCCCCAAAACATGTTGCATGTTTAGCTGCCTCCAGCTCACTTCATGAAGCCTGCATACTGCTAGGTGCTCAAGCCCCAAATCCTGGAGTCATCTTTGACGCCTCTCTTCCTCCCAGATGAGCCACTCCTGCTTCTGTGAGGAAGGATGAGAAGGGGACAGAGGCAAAATCCCCTACTTTATGAAAATGAGCATGCTAAAAAAATGCTAGCTTTGGTTATCATTGTAAACCCAGAAAGTAATTACTGAGCACCTGCTACCATGTCAGGTGCATGCTAGGCACTGCAGGAACCCCAGCTACTGAGCCAAGAGATGTACACAGGCAGTTACAGTTTATACTGGTGATGATAAGGTGAAGATGGTATCCAGAGAAAGGAATGCTTAAATCTCCTTGGGGAGAAAAGGAGGTGGCACTTGAGCTGAATCTTTAACAACATAGAAGCACGAGTAGCTATTTGTCACATTGGGTGGCCATGCAGCATTCTAGGACAGGAAGCATATATGCAAAGGCTGGTAGATATGAAAGCAGGAAACGCTTGCAAAATACCCAAGGACATCAATATAGTTGGGATGTATGTCCGTGGGGACAGTGAATCAAAGTTGAAAGTTATGCAGTAGATTTACAAATTTAGTAGATTACAAAATAGGTGTGATTTAGATACCAGGAAGTTCTCTTTATTCTTCCTTCTTTGATCCCAATGTCAAGTTCTTTTATGCAATAATTTTTTAATGAGGTATAATTGACTTAGAACATTACATTAGTCTCAGGTGTAGAACACAATGATTTGATATTTGTATATATTGGGAAATAAGCGCCACAATAAGGCTAGTTAACATCCACCATCAGACATAGTTACAAATATTTTTTCTTGAGATAAAGACTTTGAAGATCTACTCTCTCAGCAACCTTCAAATGTGCAATACAGTGTGATTAACTATAGTCAGCATACTTTAAATTACATGCCATGGCTTATTCATTTTTACAACTGGAAGTTTGTATTTTTGGACTCCCTTCCCTCGTGATGACATCAAATTCTTGAAAGCAGAGACACATGGCTATCCTACTACAGCTGGCATGCCTTGTCCTTCAAAGGCAATGTCCCTAAAAAGGAAATGATGGGCCGGAAAACATTTACTAGAATTCAAATACTTCCCCCATAAACCCTAGTCTGTCTCAAACCCCCTTGGTGCACCTACCCATGAACACTGACTGGATTTCTGCTTTGTGACAGTGACTGCGGGCTACTGAAGCATGGAACAGCGGTTGCTCATGTCTCACTTCAACAACCAGCACTGGAAGCTTTGGTCGGAGCCTCTCCCAGTGCTTGAGGCTTCTGGCAAACAGCATGGACTCCCTCCCTGAGTCAGTAGCACTTACTAAGTGCATAATAATCAAATGTGTGCTCTGCCCAACAGCTATGGAGGTGATCCTTCCTCAGGTCTGTCCAAATACCGTGGAACCATGAGCCACATTAACAACTCATTCTCTCGAACACTTCAAACGGGAACAGAGGTCGAGCTTGACATAATGCAGACAGAAACCTTGAGGTAGGGAGAGGAGGGAAGACAGGACAAGTGATGAAAAACAGTCAGATGCAGGTGCCTGCAAGGAAGCCATGGAGAGAAGAGCAGCGTGAAGGGGATGCGGAGGATACAGGGAGAGAGCAATCAGCAGGCCCGGCGCACCTGCCCAAGAGATTACTCTCACAGTCCCTGGGGAAATCTATCATTACCCTCACCTTACAGACCAGACACAAAGCTGAGAGCCTGGGTCATTTGCCCAGGGTTCTAGGGAGTGGGGGAATAACGTTTTAAGCCCGGGGTCTATCAACTCCAAAGGCTGGAGGGTGTGTGTTTAAAATTGAAGACCGTCTAAATCAGTAGCTCTCAAGCTCCGGTATGCGCCAGAATCACCTAGGGCTCAGAAGCAAACATAGATCGCCAGGTCCTGCCTCCAGGGATCCTTATTCTTTAAGCCTGGGATGAGATCTGAGCATTTGCATTTCTAGCAAGTTCCAGGTGATGCCGACAGACTGTATCTACTGATCTACTGGCTCAAGAGCACACTTTGAGAATTCCTCTTTTTTTACTCTGTGTGTATGTGTGTGTGCTTTTAACTATTAGCAAAACTGCCTTTTGGGGAAGCATAGAGGAAAAAAAATAGGAGTGGGGAAATGGTTAGAAGGGGAGAGTAATGATAGGACAATGAAAGCGCACATTCTTTTCCTGTGTTGCTGATGCGGGCTGAACTGTTGAGACCCGCAGGATCAACAGGGGATTTTGGTGGTCTTGGGAACCCCTTCTGCTCAGGGCCCAGCAGGCCACTATTTATGGTCCTCAGAGGTATGGCCATGGTTCAAACTTTAAGTAGGTTCTTTTTCCCCCTCCGCTGCAGGGAAAAATACTCCCCGTTCAGGATCTACCAGCCAACGCTGCCTTCTCCACCTACCTCAACATCCTCTTAAACCATCTTTCTCATAAGCAAACCCTGCCTCCTCCCCAGGCATTCCTATCTATGTGCCTTTTCTCACTGTACTCAATCTTCTCGTCTGGAATTTCCATCCGCCTTTGCTCCACTTCCCAGGGAAGACCATCACACTGAGATGCTGTCTTTCAAAAACATGGTGTACTTCTAGAAAAAGACCTATAATTTATGAATGGTTGTGTAAGCCCTGCCTACTGACACAGAACAGGTCACCCCACAAATGTTCATTGAATGTATGATCCTGGGGGGATGATAGTGACTTTAGAAACTTCCTCTATATTTCTAAAGAAAATCAAACCCATTACCATCGTGCACTTGCATAATAAGTGCTAATAAACCTTTGATTAATGAATGGGTAAGCTTGTAAATTCTTAAGAATGAAGTAAACAGGAGGTCAAGTTAGCAAATTTTTTCAACAATGTGAATGGCTACTTACGTCTGCCAAATGCATCGATTTAATAGGCAATTAGAAACGGTGTAAATTTGTTAATTTATACATATGGTCCACCAACATTTGCCAAAGTAAGGTCCATGTACCATGGAAGACACCCAAAAAATAGGTGGATAGTATACGAATAAACTTTCCTAACCGTTTTACATTTAAATTGCATTAGATAAATATATAATCTCATATCAAACCTGTGATTTGACGGTTATTGTTTCTTAGCACTGAACTTCTATTTCTTTAAGTGAGTTGATTTACAGAAAAACAATAAGTGAGTAATACTACAGAGATAAAGCACAACTAATAAAGGTAACCGTTAATGACTGAAGCTTAGGAAACACCAGTACTCACTAACGGAAAGAAGGAAGCCTAATATCAATGTGGGTGAGACATTCTGTGTAGGTTCCACCATTTAAAAGTTTTGTGGCTTTGGGCAAATTAAATATATTCTCTGAGTTCCTGGTAAAAAATGGTGATGGGGGAGGAGGTGCTGTTGGTCATGATGGAGGTGATGGTAGAACAGGTACTGTTGGTGACGGTGGAGGTGATGGGGGAGGAGGTGCTGGTGGCAATGGTGGAGGTGACAGAAATAATGGTGCTGGTAGTGGTAATGAGAAGGAGGAAGAGTTGAAAGAAGAACAGGAGGAAGTGAGGAGGGAAAAAGAACAATAAAACTTCCTGAAACTTCCCTGTATCAAGATACCTAGGATTTCCATGTTGCTCTTTGGATACTAGGAAAAAACCAACTTAAGAATGATTCTACTTTTTTAGTGATGTTGAGGTTGTCACCCATGAAGTTCTTGAGCAACTGTAACAATGTTTTTTCCATTTCTACATGCTGGGTGTTTGCTTTTTCCCATCAGTCTTTCTCACAATATTGAATGTAAGACTTGACACAAAAACCTTACTAAGATATCCCCCCAGAAAATGTTGGCTATCAACAACTCTTTTCATAGACTATAGAAAGCATATGTACGTACTGAGGCAGTGATGATTTTAAATGCACCACATTAAAAGGGAATATGAACACAATAGCAACAGAAAGAGTGATGAGAAGCAGGTAAAAGCTATTGTACTCAGATTTATTACCTGAGATAAAATCTTCATCTACAGAGGGAGAATTTTCTCCTAAGGATGCAGTCAGATGGTATTTAAACCAGGCATGGCCTATGGGGGATAAGCCTGGATAATTCACTGACAGTAAAAGTGTCACTTAATTATCAAGCCAAACAACTGACATGTTAGAGATAACCCAGACTCTAACCCTTGGCCTTAGCAAACCAAATGTTTATACTTCTGTTAGGTACACAGACATATTGCAGAATCTTAATGTAAGTTTGAAATCCCAAGCAGACGTACCTTCACAAACCCAAGGCTGCATAACTTGGCTTTTGCTCCAAATTGCCACTTGCACTGTGTGTCAGCATCATAAATCTGTCCCGGCAGTTTGTCCGGATATTTATACTGTCCTGTTTGCTTGGGCTCATCCACCAGACACCCAGCCTGAGGTGTGCTGTAGTGACAAACATGGTCATTCATAAGGATGTGTTATCTGCCATCTTTCCACTCAAGACAATACACCTCTGAATGCATTCATGCGAAGAAAAATATACCATGGCTAAAGAAATAGGTGTATGTTTAAAGTTAAAATGTATGCCATCCAAAGAGGAGTCTTGTGTTGCCTAAGAAGATGGAATTTACACAGCCACGAAGGGCTGTACGTGGTACTGGAGGTTACAGATATCTAAGTGAAGGAGGTGGCAGAGGTCAACATACCTGAAAATCCTTCCTAGTCTCATTTAGCAATATCCAATAAATTTTTATTTAGTGCCTGCTCTGTGTGGATCACTAGGCTAAGCACCAAAGGGACAAAATAAACTAGACAGACACAGTACCTACCTTCATGGAGTTGAAAGTCATCCTGTAGTTTTTACAGATAATGGGGCAGTGGTCAAAGATGCACTTTACCTCAAATAATCTTTACAAGCAAAACAATGAATGAGATGTTTGAAAGAAATCAGGAGAAATGATTCATAAGGCAGAACAATTTCCCTGAGATATGTTTAACTGGGGTATGTTCAGAAAAAAATATCAGTCTTGATGGCATGGTTGCTCTTGGAAAGCACTGTATCTCCATTTACTTAAGTGATTAAACTGTGATATCAATAAGAGGCCAAAAGCATGGTGGTTAAGTGTGATTTTGGAGTCAGACGGGGGTCCTAGTCAACCACACAGCCAGAGCCAACACTTGTGCATCTCATGGCTGACAATGACTTCCGTGAGAGTTGTAACACATCAAATAAGAAAATGCAATGTGCTTAACAAGCAGAGCAAGCACCCAAAGTTAGCTGCTGTTATTACCGTCATCCAAAAACTTTTAACTGTATCATATTAATGATGGAAACTCAACCTATATTAAGTTGACCTTGATTTATAATATTTATTGATTGTGGTCTCACATGAGATGGAAAAGATAATTTTAAGCCCTAAGTCACAAATTAAAAACTAATGAGAAAATCTGCATGACAAAATGTATTAGCAAAAGATTTGTCAATTTTTTACTGTCCTTTCAGGACATCATTTGGTTAGACATCTTTGTATGTCATCAGATGTGCCTGTGTGTATTGCTTATTCTCTAAATGTTTGCAAGAAATATGCAGTAGTACGGGTTAAAAAGAGTATCAATAATGTCAATTATGGAAGAAACTTGGTTAGTTTCCCTGACATTTGGTCAAAGGCGCGTGGGATTAGATGTGTTCTTGTGAGTCAACATAGTGAAAGCTACTATTCTCTTTGGACGTCTTCTGGACATTGAGCTAGCTCTTGGCCATTTCAAACAAAATAGCTAATCAAAGTAACACTCCATTGATTATAAAACATGCCCACCATTTTAGCATTTTGAATATTCTTATGACCAAATTCATCGATCAGATTAAAATAGTCACAATAAAAAGATGATTTGTCTAGCGAGCGCTGGAGGCCAAGGAGGAGAGGCACTTATAAGCACAGATCTTGGAGCCATCACAAACCTACGTGTAAATCTTACGTCTACACCTTACCAGCTGCAGGACGTTAAGCAACACATTAACCTCCCTAAGGCTCAACTTCCTCAACTCTAGAATGAGGATAATAACAGGGTTGCTGTGAAGATTTAATTCGGCAAAAGATGTTAGCAGTTAGCACAGTATTAGACCTTCAGAGTGCTTTTTCAACAACAATAAAAACAATATATATCACCATCACGATCATCAAGCCACTCAGTATTTGTTTTCCCATCTATTGGCCGTCCACTGTCACCCTCCAAACGGGAGCGCTTCCGGCTTGCCCTGTGTTACCTAAGGAATTTCTTGAGGTACTGCCGGCTGCATGAAGACCACGAGAACACCCCATTGTTTCCCGTCAGAGTGGGAGACATGATATTGCCTTCAGCCTTCCTGCAGGGATTGCCTTCTCCATCATGAATCATGCCAAAGCTGAAACAGAATGAAGAAAACAGAAAGCCTTCCTGTGAACCCATTTTCCAAATTACAACCAGAAGAAAAGATGCATTAGGAATCAACAAACCCAAGTAAAAGAGAGTCATCAAAATTATAGGAACAGAGAAAGAGAAAAACGAGTCATTATATAATATTGTAAAAATTCATTTAGAAAATTCTGAAGAAGGCTAAAGGGCTCTGCTATACTGTCTCGTGGCCACAAAATCAAAGACTGTTACACTTGCTACATATTTTGAGGGTGAGGAAATTTTGATCAAGATTTCTAAGCTTACCTAAACTGATGGGATAGTGAAATTCTTTTATTTCAAATAGCAAAATTTTTTTCTTGCTACCGTTTGTCTAACTATGGTAAGGAATTTCAGAGTAGGAAATAGGTACTGAGAGAAGCTGATTATAAGTTGTTTATGGACTTGTTCAGGTATAATGCCAGTGTGACAAATCAACTTTTTTAATGATGATCCATTTCTTAGCTGAAGTCACAAGCTCTGACTATAATTAAACCCCTCTATAATCATAACCATCTTTAAAAAGTAATGGTTGACCCTACATGTAGAAGGCATACAAATGACTTCTTTTGAATGAATTCTATGAGAAAACTTTAATTTGTCCCATTTCACCATAAGAAGGTTCTAGTAGTTACAGAGTAAAAATAATTTTAGGTGGTTTACTCCCTATAAATCATGTGCATTATACATAAATGATTTCTAAATCTGTCTGGTAGAATAAATGTGACACTGATGTATAGTTTCTGAAGATAATAAATTTAGTTCTTCAGAGACACCAAAATATCAAAATATAACTTACAGTTTCAGAATGGATATTTGCTTTTATTTTTAAGTCAGAAATTAGTTGGATGCTCTGATAATGAGCATTCAGTATAAATGTTGAATACAAGAAACACACACAAACATTCCTAAACTCATTCCTAAACTCAAAGAGCTTGGCCTTTGAAATAGTCATTTTTGTAAAGCGCTGTGCTTCCACCATTGCAGATGTTATTGTTCAAATAATGTAGAATTGTATCTATACCAGATTATATGTCTCAAAAAAAATGAATTTATCTTATTACTCCTATGTTTCTCATTCCTCATTTCTAGATCTTTTCTCATGATAGATTTCCTAATACCAATTTAAAGAATATTAAAGACATGCAATGACACCAACTAGAAGAATGTATGTAATATATTTATCTAAAGTTTTTAAACAATTAACATGCTCTTACATTCTGGGCATGTCCATGTCTCCATGATTATTTCCTTAGTAAAATGAACTATAAGTGTCTGCCCTGCAGCAAAACATGGAAGACAATGAACAAATGCCTAAAAGACCACAGGATCCATTAGATAACTTGCAGTCCTTGGATGCACACAATATAATACTGGGTGGCTATTAAATGCTGTCATTTAAAAATGAGCACCATCAGGGACTGGCCTTTGTTGAACCCGTCCTACAATCGGGCACTGTTTCTAAGCTTTACACAGGATTTATTCTATTTATTCTACCTGGGTCAATAGTAACCATTAAAGGAAGGTCAACAAATTGCACAACCAGTTTTCATAGAAAGTGGTGAGTCAAGGGTCACTTACTTGTGCCCTGACTCATGAGCGATGGTGAAGGCCAGGCCAAGTCCTGTGTCCTCATTGATGGTACAGCTGCGGTATTTACTGCACATCCCACTGATGGGGGCAAACCCTATTGAGGGATCAGTTTCAAATGTCAGTTCCCAGGGCACACACACAGATACCTGATCATTTATGTCCTCTGGTGTTCTGCACAGTTTTATTTTAATGGATTAATGTATTTAATTTTTTCTGCAGAAGAACAGTAAAGGTATATGGTTTTCTGTCCTGGCCGGAGAGATAAATGTAGCATTTAATATTTTTTTGCTTTACAAAGATATTGTCATTAACTGCTCTTAACAACATGATGAGGTCAATTAAAGTAATGTGACTCCCATTTTACATATAGAATAGTAAGTCACAGGACATTAACATGCTTTATCTACGTTCATTATCTGAATCAGAACAACTGCTGAAATGATAGATAAACCAATACAAAATGCACACCTAATATTATTAGGCTCAGATCTCAAGGCATATTTTGTAAGAAAACACACATCCTGATCTTTTTCCAAAGCAGATAACATGGACAGGCCAAAACAATGTTAAGAGATGAAATTCATTTTTCCCCTCTTCACCATAATGTGATAAAGTCTCCTGTCCCCAAAACTACTTCCCTCCAAGAGCAGGTATAAAATCATTCTAGCCCTTAATTCTATCTTGAGCTATGTTACAAGGTGAAGTATCTTTTTTCCCAGTTTTGGGTCCACATGCCCAGTAGAGCAAGGCTATGTATTCAGCCAGCATTAAATACACAGTCGGGAACAGATTATACCCACTTTGCTGCCATGACGTAAATCATATGTGAAACCTAATATAAAGACATATATCATGGATGGCACCGTCATCACCAACACCGATCCAGATGATCATCAATGCATCAAAAAAAACTCCCAAATTCCTATATGCAATGGAATATTCTAGAAAATACAGTGGAGATGTAAAAGATACAGCCCTTACTCACTGTCTTACACAAATGCAGGAGAGCCGAGTTTTTCCAAGGTCAGGTGACTTTCTAAAGGAGGCATTGCTTCCCTAGTGGCACAGTTACGGACCACAGAGACCAAATTATCTTCAGCTATCCAGTTCTATAGTCAGGATGCTTATCAAATAAACCGCACCTTTCCAGCTAGACAATTAATCTCATATCTCAGTGATTATCAATAGAATTAATAAAGAAAAACAGAGAAAGAATAAAATAAGTGGGCTCCCCACTCCACACTGACTTCTGTTAAATAACGTGATATCCACTAGAAGGTACCATGAGGGTACTCCACAACTGAAATACTAGCTCTCCTTGCTAAGGATCGTAAGGGCCACACCCACACCCCCAGAGGGTTTCCATACTGTGCTTTCAGCTGACATGGGTGTGCTTGAAGCATCTGTTCATACCATACCTAGAGTGTCACACGGTTCATTCTTCCAGGAACAAATATCGAATCCCGTGAGTAAGATGGCATGGTCATGCCTCTTGCCATTCTTGCCAATGAGGGCAGATTGCCACTGACAAAAACTGTTCAGAGACTGGTCTGCGTGGTGGTTGATCAATAATCCTCCCTATGGGAAACCCACACAAATCAGAGTGTGAATTTGTTATAGAGATGAGAATGTTGAATCATTCCATTTGTACAGGCAAACACAGAAACATCATGTTTCTAGGGAGAAAGGTCAGTAGAGGAAAACACTTGAGCCAAGGTTGGAGAAAACTGGTTAAAAAGAAACTAAAAACTATTTCAGGTAAATGCTCACAATATTTCAAGTGACTACACGTGTTTCAGTAGTGTAGGTTATGACCAAATCTGTTCCTACAATCAATAACCTGATATCAGTCAGAAACATTTTTGTTCATCTCGTGCTGGTACCACCTTTACAAAACAGAACTTTCAGACTGTAATTATTAATTAGTGGTGATGAAGTTCAGTGCCTTCTTCAATAGACCATGAGGAGGGCAGTGACGACATATACCCCTATGTCAGAATTTCCAGCAAAGGGCTTGGCACATCACAGGTTACAATCGACCAGTCAATCAATAAAACGAAAGCTCACCGAATGGATGGAGAAAGAGTTAGAAAATTCTAAAGGGTTAAGATAGGAACCACCCTAAAGATCCTTATCAAAATGGTTGCTTAAAACTATTCTCTTGGGTCAAGTTGAGGGGTTTTAGGCAAGATCTTTAATTATCAGTAAATTAGGAAGCCACTGGCTTCAATGTCCTTGGGCAAAGTATAAGCGGTAGTTTAAAGACAAAAAAAGCATCTCCCAAACAACACACACCCTTCCTACCCTTCTATTCCAAAGACAGCGTGACAAGTCGCTAACCCCTGTAGCTCTACACACCTGGGCAATTAGATCAATTTTTGTTCTGTCTCTGACGCCCTGCTTTATACATTCACTCTTGGGGTTACAGACAAGGAGGAAAAGCCACCAGGGACTTAAAAAAATAGTCTATTTGATTGGTAACCCTCACCTCAAAAAAAGAGGTTCAACATCAAAACACAACAAAGCAGAGAATGGCACAAAATTTAACACCTCCTTTATGTTCTGTTTTTATATATATGCCTGACTTTGCACCTCATTGTAATCAATTCAAGGGCAGTTAGAGATTGCTTGTTAATTCTCTGTAGCCTCTAAGATGGTGCTGGGGGACAGTATGTTTTACTACAAGGATTTTCTGATGACTTATTTGTGTTATTTTTAGAAATACCTTTTTACATCTACCTGCAATTACCCAGCACACAGCTTTCAAAACCCAGCTAGCCTGTAAATCTATTCCTAAATGTACCTTTCTTATGAAGCCAACAAAATATTCATATTTTTATATATAGTGTAATATTTATATTTTACATTTGTATATGCATACCTGCATATGTAATATTTTATATCACTATATATATGCATAAATATTCCTTATTTTTATATACAAATGATTATTTTGTGGTGTTTTAATTACTTGAATACACAACCCTATTTGATTGAACTTTCCTGGAGGATAGGGTCGGCATATTTTCAAATTTGAATTTCAAATGAGTAGTACATGGGTCGGCACACAGTACGTGTTCAAAAAGTGTACCCTGAATGACAGAATGAATTAAGAAATAAATGAGGCTTGCCACTTACAGGTTCTTGTTCTAGAAGAATGAGGCTCACCAACACAATGTTTATATCACTTCCAATGGTCCCATCTTTAAACAGGCTGGAAACCTGGTAGAACAATTGAAATCACACAAAAATAAAATAAAACCTGAAAACTTCCAACACTGTGTGTGTGGGGGTATTAGTCATACATATTTATAAGTTTACCAAATATATGTGCACATAAAGCTGATTTCCTCAAAACTTGATTTCTTTCCATAAAATCACATGGTTGCACCTGCTCTTCGATCCATGCAGGTTTCTGATTCCTGACTGTTTGGAGGGCCGGAGTCCTGACAATCCCCTTACCATGTTCATGACTGTCAGAATGTACGTGGTGACGTTGGCCTTGCCGTGCTTTTCCACCATCTTCTTGTCCGCTACCACAAGGGTTTCCACGTTTAGGCCCTTTTGTGACTTCCCAGCTGACCTTCTGGGCCGCCCCGCACTCCCGTATTCATCGAACCTGAGATAGGTGTCCTCTGTGGGAGGCTTAGGGGCATCTACAATGAGCAGAAGAGCATTTGGGAGCCCTGTGAGTAGAGAGCATCTGGGAGAGGCCGACAGCAATCTGAGCAAAGGGAGGGAGAAAGTGTGAAACCGACACTTCACCAATCTGTTGCTAAGTGATGCCCTCAGTGCCTGGTCTGGGGCTTTGCACCCAGGCTGTGGGCCAGGAAGAGTCATTTGATAGATGTTTGGAAGGACAGCAGGAAGGATGGATGGACGGAAGGAAGGAAGGGACTCAGTAACTCAAAATACTCAAAAGAGTAAAAGAGAAACTGCAAGTCTAGTTGATAGAACAGTTCAAGAAAAACCCATTTTTATGGGAAATCCCTAAAAACAAAAGCTCATTGTTTTCTATTACTACAAACTTTAGAAATAGACATTATCCTTTGAATCTGGATTCATGATACTCTGGATCCTTTGAATCTGAATTCTAAATAAAATTTAGAAATATGCATTCTATAGAACACTCCCCACGTCTTAGATGTTTGTTTCAGCAATACAAACGTCAGTGGCACAAAATGAGTGGATTCTCTGACCTGATGATATTGACTCAGTTATTGGGGAAATAGCATAGTCAGGGTGGTATTGAAAATTATATTAAATATTTTGTAGCAGGTAAGGCGCAGGCACCACCTTAACAGAATGGATACTAGCCATAGTCTTTGAGTGCCTTTTGGGCCAGGGACAATCCCTTTAGTTAATGGAGAGTGACAAGACCAAGGGTTGCTGGGAAGGAAAAGGGTATTTGGAAAGCTCAGGGCAGTAACTATATACTACGAATATAGAATTATTTTAATACTTTAACAAGCACTGCAGTCATAATAGTGAAGTTAGCTCTCCACAGAGTGAAATTAAAAGATCAAATCACTTAGAGGTAGACATAAAACCTCAAGTTGGCCACTTGGATGAGTGGCCCTAAGTTTCACTTTTCTCTTCAATGAACAGAACATTATACCCAATATTCCAATCATAAGTTGCTCTGAAGATTAGCTTTGATATCTCATATCAAATATGTATTGTTGCCATTATGAATACCATTACTATTATTCATACCACTGTTACTATGAATCCATGCCAAATAGGTGTTCCTTAAAGAGGATATTTCAGTAACACTCCAAACCCCAAAACCAATTAAAATGGCAGAAACGCTGTCTTCCAGCCTTGCCCCTGACCAACAGCTCATGGATACAAGTTCCGCTTCTCCCTGGGTGCAACTGTCACCTGGCTTCTCTGTCCGCCTTAGTACTTCCGTGTCACTCATGGCTACCGAGCCTTTGAAATGTGACTGTTGCCACTGGAGGAACTGAATTTTTGATTTCATTTAATTTTAATTAAAACTAAAAAAGCAATATGTGATTCAGTTATTGAAAAACTTAAGTATGTTTGGAACAGCTTGGATATGTAAATCTACCTTTCAACTTTAAATTTCATGAAATCTCAATAAATAAAGATCAAGTATTTCTGATGAGAATTTATTGTCTGCGTTGAAATTGTGCTCCAAGTGTATAACTCTAGCTTTCCAAAACTTAATATAAAGAAGGAATGTAAAATACCTCATCAATAATTTGCTGTATTGTTTTCATGTTGAGATGTTACTCTGTATAGATTGGGTTAAATGAAATGTTCTACAAAAATTAATGTACCCATTGAAACATTTTTTTAAACACAACTACTAGAACATTTAAAATTATATTTGGGTAAATATTTTATTTCTACTGGATACTGCTGGTCTAGAAAATGCAGAAGGTTGTGTCTGGGTCTCAAACTGTGGCTGAGGATCCCTACATTTCAGTGCCACTTCAACATGGGTGCCAATTTTCTTATTTTCTGGGAAATTTCTCCTTCAAGTGTTCAAAAGGAACATCCAAGCACACCTAAGGATCTTCCTCTGATTTCTTCCGTCATTGGAAGATGGGGCACAGAAACCAAGATAATGTTGGGACCTGGTACTAAAAAGTAAGAGATGCTAAAAGAGAAGAAAGATAAAAGCCTATCAAAACCTTTCTCTACAAACTTTAGAAATAGACATTATCCTTTGAATCTGGATTCATGATACTCTGGATCCTTTGAATCTGAATTCTAAATAAAATTTAGAAATATGCATTCTATAGAACACTCCCCACGTCTTAGATGTTTGTTTCAGCAATACAAACGTCAGTGGCACAAAATGAGTGGATTCTCTGACCTGATGATATTGACTCAGTTATTGGGGAAATAGCATAGTCAGGGTGGTATTGAAAATTATATTAAATATTTTGTAGCAGGTAAGGCGCAGGCACCACCTTAACAGAATGGATACTAGCCATAGTCTTTGAGTGCCTTTTGGGCCAGGGACAATCCCTTTAGTTAATGGAGAGTGACAAGACCAAGGGTTGCTGGGAAGGAAAAGGGTATTTGGAAAGCTCAGGGCAGTAACTATATACTACGAATATAGAATTATTTTAATACTTTAACAAGCACTGCAGTCATAATAGTGAAGTTAGCTCTCCACAGAGTGAAATTAAAAGATCAAATCACTTAGAGGTAGACATAAAACCTCAAGTTGGCCACTTGGATGAGTGGCCCTAAGTTTCACTTTTCTCTTCAATGAACAGAACATTATACCCAATATTCCAATCATAAGTTGCTCTGAAGATTAGCTTTGATATCTCATATCAAATATGTATTGTTGCCATTATGAATACCATTACTATTATTCATACCACTGTTACTATGAATCCATGCCAAATAGGTGTTCCTTAAAGAGGATATTTCAGTAACACTCCAAACCCCAAAACCAATTAAAATGGCAGAAACGCTGTCTTCCAGCCTTGCCCCTGACCAACAGCTCATGGATACAAGTTCCGCTTCTCCCTGGGTGCAACTGTCACCTGGCTTCTCTGTCCGCCTTAGTACTTCCGTGTCACTCATGGCTACCGAGCCTTTGAAATGTGACTGTTGCCACTGGAGGAACTGAATTTTTGATTTCATTTAATTTTAATTAAAACTAAAAAAGCAATATGTGATTCAGTTATTGAAAAACTTAAGTATGTTTGGAACAGCTTGGATATGTAAATCTACCTTTCAACTTTAAATTTCATGAAATCTCAATAAATAAAGATCAAGTATTTCTGATGAGAATTTATTGTCTGCGTTGAAATTGTGCTCCAAGTGTATAACTCTAGCTTTCCAAAACTTAATATAAAGAAGGAATGTAAAATACCTCATCAATAATTTGCTGTATTGTTTTCATGTTGAGATGTTACTCTGTATAGATTGGGTTAAATGAAATGTTCTACAAAAATTAATGTACCCATTGAAACATTTTTTTAAACACAACTACTAGAACATTTAAAATTATATTTGGGTAAATATTTTATTTCTACTGGATACTGCTGGTCTAGAAAATGCAGAAGGTTGTGTCTGGGTCTCAAACTGTGGCTGAGGATCCCTACATTTCAGTGCCACTTCAACATGGGTGCCAATTTTCTTATTTTCTGGGAAATTTCTCCTTCAAGTGTTCAGAAGGAACATCCAAGCACACCTAAGGATCTTCCTCTGATTTCTTCCGTCATTGGAAGATGGGGCACAGAAACCAAGATAATGTTGGGACCTGGTACTAAAAAGTAAGAGATGCTAAAAGAGAAGAAAGATAAAAGCCTATCAAAACCTTTCCTGGTTTAACCCAGACGAACTGAGGACTGAGCAGCTAGCTTCTGCCTGTTGGGGATGATTATGGGGGTTCCCTCCTCGACTACTAGGGGATGCGCAGTGTGGCCCCATTTCAACTTGCAAAGTCGGCACGCCCAACTGCACTCATGAAACCCCATCACGAGCCCACAGGAGAACAGAACATGAAAAAGTTTCCTTACATACATTTCTTGCGTCGTCCACAAAAATGCTGCTTTTGCAACCTTCCACGGAAATGCTCTCTTTCTTGACTCCAAGGTGTGTGGGGAACGTGACTCGGGTGGTGGCCGGGACAACGCCCGCTGGAGCCCGGGTAGCCGTGGCAATGCTGGACCATCTCCTCAGCTGTCCTTTTGTAGAGTACGTGAGGATGGTGGCCGGCAGGTGAGCTGTAGTTGTGCTCCTGGGCCAGGCGCTGAGGTAACGGCGAGATGAGGAATTCATTTTTCTGAGTCCTTATGAGACCTGACTAACAAGCCAGACATGAAGAAAACATTAATGATTCCATGCACCCCTTTTTTATGGGTTGGTTTTCAGCAACTGTTTAATGGCCATGTCCTGTGTGCAGGCCCCATGCTAAATGCTCAATAAGCATCATCTCATTTTTATCGGCACGATCAGCAGTTGCAACTATTATTATCCCCATTTTACAGATGAGAAAACTGAGGCTAAGATAGTAAGTAGGAAAGCTAGTATTGGCATTGCAGGGGAGAGAAAATAACTTCCCCTTTACCCTTCTAGGTTCTTGGTAATAAAAGACAGATTAACAGGGAACCGCAAGTTTAATGACATGCACGGCTCCTGGATACCTGGGAGACACCCAGGAAAACTGAGGAACTCCCCCAAATGGCCCAAGCCACCACCTGAAATACCATCTCCAGCTAAAGACAAAAGATGCTGGGGGAGAGGCCTTTTCTGGAAGGCGACCTAGAAAAGTAGAGTGAACAAGGGTACAACTGTTACACAGAGTCTGCTCCCCTTCGGCACAGAGCTTCTACCGTGAGAGGCAATGCTCTTGACCACTCCTCTGGGCTGCTGCTTTTTGTGTTTGTGATGGAAGGCCTGGGCCATGCGACACCCTGGGAGTCTCAGCATCTACGACCAGGCACACACTGTGGTAAACACTGGATAGAATGCACTTAAAAGCAGCATCACCTTCAAGGAGCTTACAGGGTAGGTAGTAAAAACAAAGGCACTCTATCTTGATTTCACAAGTGCCAAATAAAGGCATGAGTAGGGATGGCACAGAAAGGAGAGAGTGGTTATCTCCAAGGAGGGGCCCAGGGAGCACAAAGAGCCGCACCGTCAGGAAGAGAGATCTGCCGGATCAGAAGGAGGGGAGGGGCCAGCAAGCTCACCCAATACCATTTCATCTTCTGAGTTCATGGTACCATGTGTGCATCTCTGTACCTGATATTTTGGTGCCACATTCAGCACACCCTGTACCCTCTCTTCTGGGCATTTGGTCCTGAATTTCATTGGTTTCCAGATCCTGCCATGGAAAGTGTGGTCTCTCCACCCGTAGATCCAGCCTCACTGGGGACCTTGTTAGAAAGCAGACTCTTAGGTGTCACCCCAGACCTGCTGAACCAGAATCTGATTATTTTTAGATCCCAGGAGACCTGCATCCCTATTAAAGTCTGAGAAGCTCTGAGACTGGCCTTCAACTTCGGAGAACATTAGAAACACGTGGGGATCTTAAATATAGACACAGAGTCACTTGTTTCCAGGCAGAATCCCGTACCATTGACAGTCCAATCTCTGTCCAGGTGACAGACACACCAGAACTGGTTTTTAACTGCCCAGGTGATTATTTCCAGGGCAGATGAGTCCGAACCAGGGCTCCAGGCCTCACCATCTTCACTGTGCAGAATGGAGGCAACACCTCTGCCCCGACCACCTGACAAGGGGAGATAAATTAGCCACGGCAGCAGCCCCACACACATTCTCACCGGCAGCAATTTAGATGATGGGTCATGACGAGTGGTTGATTCAACACCTGCTCACTGGGCACCAGCGAGGTACCAGACAGCTGGGGAGGTGCTGGGCCCATAACAGTGCAGGACATATACAAACAGAGCATGTGGTCTGCCAGGGGCCAGACACATAGCCACTCAAGTACAGGACAAAGGAGATGGCACCTGACCCTCCCTGGGTGGATGATGGCATCAGAGGGGCTGTCCCAGGCCTTATTTTTGCCCAATGTTAGAGGTCAGCTTCTCATTGCTAAAAGAAGCCCCAGAACACGTGCTTGGCCCTGGTTTTCCTCCCCCTGCAGACATCTGCTGCCTTCTGGAAGACGGGTGCATTGGCCGTAGCACTGACATGCTCCCTAGGTCCTGGACACGAGGACATACACTTCCCTTTGCTCAGCAAACACGCTGAGTACCTCATTCAGAGCCCAGCCTAGGCATGGGCATGAAGAAAAGAGAAACACAGTAAGCAAATAAAACAGGTCAGGGAGATTATGGGAGAAGAGAATTGGCTGGCAAGAGTACAACTTAAATCAGTAGACCTCCCAGTCCCAGAAATCCTGTCCACCATTCCTTCCGGCTGTATCTTGGCACCACGCGCCCCTGTCCCCCATCCCAGTGCCATACAGGTAAAGATTTCCCCTCTCATTTGGAGGCACTCTAGTCTCCCCAGGCCCCCCGTCCTCTCCAACATGGTCTCCCCACATCAGCCAGAGTCCTGTACCAACATAGGTCAACGTATTTCATGCCCTCTGGTATTACCCGCAACCCCAAGACATTTACACTTATAAGGGAAATCTCCGTTTGTGAGGTTTGTGAGGGTGTCTCCCTCTCTGCGCCGGGAAGGGAGTGTGGCTGCACCCCAGAAGCCCTTCTCACTGGAGAAGCCACAGATGGCAATCTGCCTAACAGCCTTACTCTTGTTTGCTGTGCGTGCGCCTGGGAGCTGCCTAACTGCTCCCTCCCCATGTCATCTGCCTTCAGCTGGAGATGGTATTTCAGCTGGTGGCTTGGCCCATTTGGGGGAGAGTTCCTCAGTTTTCCTGGGTCTCTCCTTGTACACAGGAGGTATACATGCTATTCAACTTCTGTGTTTCTCCTAGTGATCTTTTATTACAGGGGGTCTCAGCCAAGAACCTAGAAGGGCAGAGGGACAGTTATTTTTCCTCCCTCACACACTCTTAGCTGACTTGGCCCACATGTTTTTCTTCACCTGCAGTCTCCTGCTCTCGCAGACTTGCTGGACTTTACGGGGCTCACTGCTTATGTCTCTGCTTAAGCACCATCTCCTCAGAGAAACTGGACTCATGACTGTTTAAAAGTACCGTCCCCTACTTCCAAATGATCTCAGGCCACATTTAATGAAATGCAACTTTCTCTCCACCATGTCAGATGCACAGTTAGTGTTCACTCTGTGACAGCAGCAGCCGCACGGGCGTCCCTGGGTATGCTGCATGTTACCAGCCAAGCCATTATCAGCTTATTAGTCCACAAACACATGTTGAGTGAGTAAATTAAAGAGTCTCAGAGTTCCAGCATCCCCCTCCCTTGGCAGCTGGGGCAACCAGAGCTGGGAAGTGGCAGGTTCAAATTCTTGAAAACCACAGACTCTTCCTGTGTCAGGTATGAAGCCAGGAACCCTTCCCCTGCACGCCCACCATGCCATTTGGTGTTTACACTTCACAACCACCTGTGGGAACTCTCAGCTGGCAGCACAGGTATAAGTCAGGGCCCCATCCCCTGAGCAGGGCCCTCTTGTCTAAATCCTGTCACCCAGTGCCCCCACCTCCTCCACAAAGACAAAAGACACCATTTACAGTCCCCGACAGACAGAGTGAACAGTTTAAGAAAAAAAAAATAATGAATTATCCATGAAAGCCCTCCAGCCCTTGCTGACTTCCTCACTTGGTTAAACTAATATCAAAGGTTTCAGTCACTTAAGTGCCTTAACTGGATGAACCGGTTTGGAAGTTTTCTATTTTCTCTGTTTCCTGAGAACCTCAGGCAGCTCGAATGCATAGTGAAAACTTCTGAATTGAAAAAGCAATAAAAAAAAGTCATCTTCGATAAGGAAAAATTCTGAGATGCCCAAAAATTAAGTGACGTAAGGGTTGGAGAATGGGAGACAGAGACCAGGAAGGTCATAGGTCAACAGCAGCAGGCCATAGCCAACCAGAGCCCACCTTCCTGGATGAAGCCACTTCAGCCATTTTCTATTAAGTCCCCAGAACCACTTTATGCCTCTAAAAAGTCCCTGGCCATCACCAGCAACCAATCCCTGGGCCCTCTCTGGGGACTGACCACCTATCGCCAACCACCCAAGCTCTGTCCTTTCATGTTCACCCGCCTTATTTACCTGCAGCCATTGTAAATTTGCACAACTTTCTTTCCTTGAGACCCCTTATAAAAGCCCCCTGTTCCCTGAGTCTGGCAGATAAGTTGTTTCTGTTGACTGGTCTTGCTGCTGGGGAAGCAGAAACGTCCAGTCGTAGGACCCAGTGCTTTTCAGGCTGCATCTGTAACAGCTCCACAAACCCTTTTATTTCCGAGATTTCTCAGACTCCATAGAATAGTTTTTGACTTCTCATCATCCTATATTGGGCCAAACCCACTGGGCCCACACAGCCCTCTACTTTTTCAGTTCAGAGTAACGAAGACAAAACTCTAGAATAATTCTTTAAAACAAAACAAGAATTTTACAGCACTGGATATTATGGAAGAAAAAGATTGGTTTTGGGGATTTAGTATGATGGAAAACCATTGGCGTCTAACCCAAAAAATTGCATTGATAGTTTAAAAATATAAACCCAGCCCTTCCAAAAGGAGCCATCTGTTTATTTGCAGAATGGGTGAAGAGGGGTGAAGTCCCTGAACACATGCGTGTTCGACTGAAGAAGGGCCAGTGAAGCATGGCCGGCAGGATTTAAACAAGATTGCCCATGGGCGTCAAACATCCCTTTCCATAGAGTTTAAAGAAAACGGTTCTATAAGAGAAAATAACAGAAAGGGAGAGGAGAGTGGAGAAACTAATTTTGCCTTTTAAAGATCTGGAAACTCAGTCACATCATTTATCTGCTAAATTGAAAAATTAAATGGACACCGACCAAGAGTCAATATTCCATTAAGATCATGCGTTATCATTTCATACTTCTGAAGTATATACTGTAAGATAATAGATTTCCGTGAGCAAGCACGGGAGAAAAGAAGAACTAATAGAGAAGAAAAAGGCTGAGGATGTCTTTGAGGGAACCCACTGGCATGAGCATGTTCTAGAATATTGTGAAGAAGTGACAAAAATGATGCAGATAAAATGGAATGGCAACACGGACAATGAAGGCAGGGAAATGCTCAACATGAAAATGACACCCTTTAGAGGCAAGTTCTGAGCTCTGCTGCTTGCTAGCTGAGCTTCAGCATTAAGCTCTCTGAGTTTCTGGTTTTCTTTTTCTTCTCTTTTTGATTCCCCATCTGTGAAATGGGAATAAAAGTACCCTAA